TAAATACATAAGCGCACGCAACGCGAAACTAACATCGATCAGGTGATCAGATAACGTTAAATTCCACAAAGGCGTAACCGACGAATCGTGAATTTACGAAAATGGCACCTAAATAATTTGTCGTTGTTTTTAATAACTTCAGGAATTATCAAAGTTGTGATATATTACTGTAATTCCCCAACAACAACAAGCACAACTCTACCCACAATATATTCTTAAACATTGAAACATAACCCCTTTGAGAATTATTCTGTCGAAAATAATATTTGTTAAAAACAAGATTGTGGGTAAGATACAATATAAATTACCATAAATCATAAATAACTGCGTACTAATTACAAGAATACAGATTAAAAATTAAAACACAATATTAAGCCTTTGTTCCAGGTCGGTGCAACACATTCTAACTCTCACTGCGTATGCGCCACTAACATACTAGCCCCGCAATATAGTAATATTACGGTGGAGTTCTGTGTTCCATTGTTACTGGGGCAAATTAATTTTATGATCATCCCTCAATAGAATGAAACCAACAAATATGTTTTGTATTTACGCATTTTCAATAAATGTTTATGAAAATTTAGCAGCGACACCGAAAGGAATAAATACATCGCCTTGAAACCTGCTTATCGAAGAACACAGTCTTTGTATTTAGTCCCCACATCGCTTTGGTTCAACGTCAACCACACCAATTGTCTGCTCTCAAACTAGAGAATTCCCGGTACTATAAGTACCAGAGCATCACTGGGACGCTTTCCAAAGAACACCCAAATTAGAACCTAGAAAAGTTCCTAAAAAAAGAAACCTAAGAACCTAGAAAAGTTCATTTCACAAATTGGTCCTACCGGGAATCGATCCCTGGACCGCCGCGCACTGGTGGGCACCAGTCCATATAAAGTAATACTCAAAACTCCAATTTCAAATGTGGGTAACGCTAAATAATAATTATTCCCTAACGTATGTGACTTTATATGCAATCTTTGGACATTTATTTATTACGTTTGATATTAAAATCGATTTAAGTGCATTATGCCAGTGACAAAGCAAGGTATGTTGAGTCTCCTAACATTATTATTATTTCTGAAGTTTATCGGTATCTGATATACGACTAATAAGGTGTAGTATGCGCCACGTCTAGAGTCCACAATGTAAGCCACCGGGGTCCTGCACCATAGCCCAATCCTCTTCTTAAAAGAGACCCGTACATAACTGTAAAGCGTGCAATGGGTTAAGAATCTACACAACCTCAAATGACCTTGGTTGATTCCACATAACAGCGAAAGTCTTGAATCAATCACTTCGGAAAAAATATAATAGTAAAATTGAGAATATACACTGATTACTATACTGTGTGAAAACACGATTCCTAAATATTTTCATGATAGAAAAAAAACAAACTTAGCTCAAAATTTTACAAGAAAACCCGCTGCATTCAATAGGTATTTTACATGTACGAATGATACATTTTTGAAATGGCTTTAAATATCAACTCTTATTGGTGATAACTTTGAGCCCAGGACGCACGCAATGTGTGTTTGTTTGTGATATCGTAGCTTCCATACGATTGGACTGATATCAATGCAGTTTTTATTTATACATTTGAAGGGTCATTTAATTGAGATCGTTCTTAAATGTTATATAAATATCTCATCTATGTTGCTCTATAATTGGTCTTTCCAAAAACTTTAATCATACGACATTGAGACTTGCGGATTTTGAAATTACACCCCTTTCGAAGCGCAGAGAACTATTAGATCAATACCTCAACACCAACACTACACCAACTTTATTTTTTCGTCATTTTCTGTTATTTTTGTAAGCAGTCATATTTATTTACTGATATTATGTTCCCTGTATGCAATTTTAAAAAATTTAAGATATTTCGAAAAAAAAAAACAAAACAAATATTGTTAAAAAATAAACAAACAGGACAGGTCCAAAAATGAAGTTAGCGTAGTGTTTATTATTTATTTTATTTATTATTTTATTTTTATTTATTTATTTATTTTAAACACTAAGAAAATTATTACAGATATTGAGATATGGTTTTCCTTTATAAATGTAAGCAACTGCTGGGTAATTTAAATTTTAAGATTCCCATCAGATTTCCAAGATTTCACAAGGCTTTTTCACCCACCTCGTCGTAGGACAGTACAGGGTTCCAATTCCCCCATACCTCGTATGTCTAATTTGTTTAATGACTGCTCCAAACACGCGGATATTTTCGTTCAATCCCTGCTAGGTTTCAGAAATTTAATTCTTAATTTTCTCGGTTCGTGTTGTGTATTTTACTTTAGAAAGATTTTCTAAAGTAAAATATTTTTGGTACTTTTTTAAGCATTAAATTTTTTTGTATGTGGTGCTCACCTATAATTAGTTACGCGATTAGACTAAGTTTTTGAAATGTATTAATGAAATATTGCAGTAACAATTGGTGCGCCTAATAAATATTTATATAAACATCTCATCAACTGTTTAAATATATCATAAACTCTTTTCCCAATTAGTATGAGATCTCAATCATAACATGAATATTTATTTAACTTCCGCCTGTCAGATCGACTTCATATTTTATTACTATGAAAATCACGAGCTTTTTTGTTTAATTTTATGTGTTATATATAAATGTCAATCAAAAAGAATCTTTGAATGTATTTCTCTATGTTTCTTTGTTTTTTGTTATATATTTTGTAATGCCTTTAAATAATAATCAAGTAAGAATTTTATGATAGTTGAAAACACTTAAGGTGGCAAGTTTCGGTCCCTGTTTTCATGCAAAACCAAATGCATGTATTCTAATTTTTAATTCTTAACTTAGTGTTCTAGTAAATCCTAAGTTGGTATGATGAACCGTAGAGTGTTATATACGCAAAATTCGTAAAATAATATCTCTTCTCTCCTATTTTCTAGAAGACAAGAGAGAGATTAAAAATGACAAACAAAGTAGAATAGTATAAGTAGTAATGTCAAAGTCACGTGATAGGACATGAAATTGTAAACGAAATAATGTTAAAAATAACCTTAACATGATGTAAGATCAAAAATAGACGTTTTGACGTATTTCGACCACACGGAGAATCTATTTTCTTTAATTGTTAGTGAAACCAAAAGACAACGGGAATTAATTATACTGCCACCGTTAGTTGAAAGGGCGCTTGTGACAAAAACTCAAAACCGAGAAAATATAATATAATAATAATATTTAAAGGTATGAAATTAAAAATATCTACTTTTCTTTTGCAGTAACTTCATGCATTATACGCCTAGGAAATAATAAAAATAGTGACAGATTGGGCTTCTTTACTGATCACGACAGTATAAAAAATTTGTTATATTTTTTAATGTCACATGCGTCTTTTCAACTAACGGCGGCAGTATAGGGGCAAGAACACGGTTGACTAAACTTTGCTCGATAAATAAAAACAAAGTTTTGCAAAATTTAAATTTTTTACTACGTTCATGTGCGGAAAAACAGTTCCATTCGATTGTTAATAGAGACATTTCAATGGAATTTTCTCTCCCGTGTTACGTAATAATTTTTGTTTTTTGGAAAAGAAAATTATATAGAAGTGTACATATGTAAACACTTTATTGTAGAACAAAATAATTAACGAGTCAATAATAAAATACGTTAAAAAATATCCAAAATCGAACTTATCTCATAAGGGATTTCTTCCAACTAATCTTTACCTAAAGTGAGCTCAATTTACAGTAAAAGGCTTATGTTTTTTATCTTGCAGTGAGTTTGAGGCATACCTTCCTGCGTCTAGCTCACACTCTTCAAAACATACATACATGCATATGGGTGAATTTTTTATTAGTATACAAAAAAAATCTGCTTTGATATAGGCGAGGACACATCAACATGTTAGGTTAGGAATACAAGATAGTAACTTCGGGCAGCGCAGCACCGATCGTCGTGGAGATCGTTGGGGGAGGCCTATGCCCAGCAGTGGGCGTCGTATGGCTGAATAATGATGATGATGATAGTAACTTCACTAGCAGGAACACGTTGATGTGACCCATATCAAAGCAGATTATGTGACATAACAAGCCACGTGTCTCTTCCATGTAGTGTTTAGGCTTTAGTTTACCATCTTGACCCTACGAGGGTGAGAGATTAAATATCTCTTCAAAGAAATAAATGAAAATGTTCCGAGATACAGATTTTTTGTGGTAGTCGGAGCCTAGACCTCTTATAGGCGGCACGTGTTCCCCCAACTAGGTTATCACTAGGTTTTAATTTGTTTCTGTTTTAATGTCATATATTTTTTAATATCACATTTCCAGTTGAAGTGATCTTTGTACTAGATAATAAATAGACTTTGATAGTTGTAAACAAGAATCATGTAATAAATATTACCTAACACTTGATACAATTCTAATACAATTTATAGCGATATTAAATGCCATGGGTTAAACTTTGGTTAGAAGAAATCCCTTTACAATTTCACTTTTGGACACTATTTTTATATGGTTTGTATTGTTGACTCTTATAATTTTGTAAAATAAAGTGTTTGAATACATACAAACTTCCAGCTTAGTATTTCTCTAAAAAAACTGATACCTAATTTTAATTAACATTTTAATAAGCGAAATACTCGAAATGTAACGTTATATCTCGTATGATGAAGCGACACCCCTCACACGCGTATCTGCGTCGGCGGCGCCGCTTCGGCGATTTCGTGCATTTTTTGCCACCGACGACTCGCTTTTCTAAATAATTTAAATACGTGCACGATCTCAGACGATTGTTAATTAAACGCCAATAGGAATTGGGTTTGTGTGTATTGGCTCGCGTGCTAAACTGTCGCACATTCTCTGCCCCATTTATTTTTTTTATCGGCTCTTTACGCACACTTTGAAACCACATTAACGCAAACTTAAACTCACGTTAAGTGGCCATTGTATTTTAAAAACGGTTAACTACCACATACGCGATTTTATATAAAAATAAGTTTTTAAAATGTGTTATAATTTTCAAAAGTAACCGCACTTACGTTATCAATGACACACTAATGGAATCCGATATGAGCACAAAACCATGTCACTAACACAGTTTGGTTTTCAGCACTTTACGATTGGCCTAAAGGAACACTTGTGTGGGACGTGCGCGGACCACACTTGCGTTCTGACCGGAGGCGCGGGCGCAACTGACGACGGTGCGGTGAAATGATCCACTGACGAGCCTCGACGAAATCGCACATTGCACTTCCAGTTGCGAAGCGAAAAAGTTTTGTTTGTTCACAGTGCCCTTTTATAAAAAGTGAGAATAATTTGTGGTCCGTTCGGTTGGATCCGACTTCAAACGAATTAAATCTCAGGCCCGGTATGCTGAAGGCGCTAGTTCGAATCCAGCTGGATCGAAGGAAGTTAGTGTTTTAAATATTAGAAAACATCACATACGTTGCTCCGATTCCAAAGTAAATAACTAAAGCACCTGTGTTATGGAAATCGGAAATAATGACGGTACCACAAACACCCAGACACGAGACAATATAGAAAAGTTAGTTTTCCTACATTGACCAGGCCGGGGATCGAACCCGGGACCTCAAACATGGCGACGCTATTGACGAGGTGTTCGAGTGTTTGTTTTCATTATAATTATAACAAACTAGTCGAATAATTATATAAAAAAATAATATCTTGGTAGTGATATTCAATAAACTTATTATTAGAATGAAATCTCAGTGTAACTTGTTTCATCATCGAAGAAAAACCTTCGTACTGTGTAACTAAATTTCCCAAGAAAACCTCAGTCAAACTAAATTTTAAGATAATGAAGTCATTAACTTTGTACATAATAATACACGGGTCAGACCCGGTGCGCGGGCGCACGGAACAGTGCCGTTATGCGGCACGAAAGGGTTAAAAAACACGTGTTTAAAGTGCAGGATTCTATGAAAATGCTTAAATATACTTCCTGATACGGACTGGCCATTAGGTATTGATAATTTTTTAAACCCAATTTTTCAATTTGTAGTGTTACACGATCAATAGCCATAAAAATCATACGATAGACATCAACGAAAGCGCATGCGCACTGATAATTTCTCATAGAGTTCAAATTATGTCCGAAGAATAGCCATTTTTTCTCAGCTTACATTCCACTACATGCTATAAGGCTTCCATGAATTTAGTTTAATATGAAAAATTACCATTTAATGATACACATAAAAACAGTCAACTGCTAAAAGATAAAAGGGCCTAAGAGACACTTCGATTTTTTTTTTATAACGCACACACTCATCATAGCCCCGCACTAGGGAAACCCTGTGTCGCGGGTGCCATGGACACATACATAGACAAAAACAAATTACACCCAAACTCACGAAAGAAATAAAATGTAGGCCATACAAATATTTCTCCCGGCCCGGGAATCGAACCTAGGACCTCTGCGTGGCAGTCCGGCATGGTAACCGTTCGGCCACGGAAGCAGTTAACGCACGGAAGATTGAAAATGACAAAAGTAAATATAGACAATTATAGACAGGACGAGTTTATGTGGCGTGCCAGCAGTAACTTTAATGAATTGTGTAAAATAGATTTATTTACCTAGATTTATTTAATACAAGTGTGACTTCGGCGAGGAATGCATTGGTGAGGCATTTTTGTGACTCCTGTTGACGTTTACTTTTTAATTTTTCTCTATGTTTGTAATTGATTATTTTTTCTTTCTTGAAAATTGTGTGCTAGAACTTGAAAATCGATTGTTATTTGTGAGGACCTGTAATTGGCTTTATGTCGTTATTATTATTACTTAATTTAGTTTTAAGCTGTTGGTCTTCCTAATAAATAAATAAATAAATAAATAAATACATTTTCTTAAAAAAAAAATACTGGATCCAAAGGCTTCCAAACGGATTTTCTAGTAGTGTTTATAAATGTTATGACCGAGATAGAACTCATTTTCAACCCAAAAGAGTCGCTTAACGAGGACGTTTCGGTTCGTCTTCGTAACAAAGTCTATGTAATCGTTTGCAAAACTAATACATTTCAATAAGCATTTGTTCGGGTGTGATACAATACACAGTGTAATATGCAAAATACGACCTGATCTTAATTGCAACCTGACACTGCATAACATCCCGTATGATATTATTATTGTTTTTAATTATTTAAGTCATTAATTATTTTAATCTACAAGTCAAACTAGATTTGAGACAATGCGTGTGAAATCCGGTATTAAGACTCAGAGAATTTAATATACATAAATACCTTTTCCTGTTATAAATATGTGAAAAATGCAATCTATTAAGTTCGCACTAGAATAAAATTGTATCTGTCTTTACTCTTAAAGAATATTAAAGTGTTGTGTTATTAATTGAGCGTGCGTAGCTCAATAATAAAGTGACACAAAATGCGGAAAGTATTTTTTTAAAAGTTACGAAAACCTTTTTTAATAACAAGCATAAGTCAAATGTACGTTTAGCGTTGAACGATCCAAACTACAAAATTTTGAACTGCACGTGCTGTTGACTGTACGAAATAAAGTTGGTACTTGGTGTAACGGGCTGGGTTCGAGTTCTTAGGTTTTCGCGATTGTTACACATATGGAAATGAAACTATTGTTTCCTATCAAGGGTACAAAACGTTTGATTTAGGTCTGAAAAAAATATTTATAAATATATCGTTATTAATATCAAATTACTCATGAAAGCGTATCGCACTTGACAACTAACATAGTATTATCTCAAAAATCGCGTTATATTATATTTTGTCTCAAAATCGCGTTATATTAACATTTTTTTCTCCAAAATTTCGCTTTATTGATGTGTCATTCATATTCGATTTATTTTCAAACTGACAGGACAACACTGCCGCTTTGAAACTAAATAGGCAATTTTAATATAAATTACAGCCATTTTGAGATAATACTATATTAGTTTTCATGTGCGATATACTGTCGGAACTCAAAATAATGGAATTGAGAATCTACGACTTGCAAGTCCAAAGTATTACAAAATGAAAGGAATATATTTATATTCTCGTTTATTAATGGATAACTAAGTATTAAGTATAAATAAAAATAACCACATTATTCGCAATAAGTTCTAAAAACGCTAGCTGGAGAACAAGGAATAACGAGAAACGCATATTTTTGGCGAATATTCCGAAAACGTTAGCACTCTCACATATCACAGAAAACAATCGATATCAAAAACAATTAATATAATAATAAAACAAATTCGAAATATGAAACTAATTAAAAGGAGTATATACATATATAAAAAAGTTTGTCGCCAACAAAGATCTATTCAGCATTTTTTTAACTTTTAAAACGACTTCAAAAAAAGAAGTTGGCAATTCGACTGTATGTTTTTTGTCGATTCTATAAATTTTTGAGTTACGAGTATTTTTTGGTTTTAAGTGCGGAATTTGAAATGTTTTTAAAATTTCGACTATTTATTATCAAGAGTGTTGTATTTGCCTTATTTTTTTTAGAACATGTATAGTTAATTCAGAGTTTTATTGAATATCTGGATAACTATCTAGATATTCAATTATTTTTTGTGAAATTACTACACTAGTTTATTATAATTATTAATACAAAGATCGAACACTTAGAAAAAAATCCTTTGAGCTGGATTCGAACCGATATCTTCTAGCAAACCGTGGCAGACGCTATTCCAACTAAGCCACAGAACGAACCAGCGGGACTCACGAAACTTTCTATGTGCTTGTTGTCGGATATTTGTATTTGGGTTTTAACGACTTTTTAGCCGTAGCGCCATCTATGAGAAATCTATGAAAGTATTTCGTTACCCAGTTAGGCACCTTTAAAGCTACCAGCTCTGGTTAGATATGTAGCTGTTCGCTGTACTTAAGTATTTTATTGAATGTCAGACTTTTTCACCACCATGATATTCGATTATTTTTGTGATATGCATATATACTTAAGTTAACAAACAATTTGAATACGACTAATTAGGTCATTTATTTGGAGCCATATTCAAAGGAGCGAACCTAAAAACCTTTTACACATAATAAAATCAGTTAAACGATTAAATCATTGATTACGGTACCATTTGCGAGTTGTCAAACTTAAGTATATTAATAAGTGTCAGTAACTACTTAATTTATAAGGCTCAAAATCGTTAGATTAGGGCCTTTGTCACTTGAGATAGTATAATCCAAGATGGCATCTTTGTAGTCAAAGGAGCATCTATTATAAGGATAGGAGTTGTTAATTATTACCTAAAATATTTAACTATTTTCAAATTGCGAAATAATAATAATAATAACGCACACACTCAACATAGCCCCGCACTTAGGGAAACCCTGTATCGCGGGTGCCATGGACACACACAAAGACAACCACAAATTACACCCAAATTCACGAGTGAAATAAATGCAGGCCATATAAATATTTCTCCCGGCCCAGGAATCGAACCTGAGCCCTCTGCGCGGTATGGTAGCCGTTCCGCCACGGGGGCAGTTCAAATTATATAAAACAGTGAGAATGCCACGACGTCCTGTCCTGTCAGCGGATTCGGATGTCGGATCCGAAAAACCTGAGACCTCTGCGTGGCAGTTCGGCATGGTAACCGTTCGGCCACGGAGGCAGTTGATATAAATATGTTACATCTATAAAGACTTATAAAAAAGTATTTTGAACGTTGCAAAAATAGATACAAATTTTCATATTACAAAATAGATACAATTTATACGTATCATCATCATCATCAACCTATTTATACTTCCCATTGCCGGGCACGGGTCTCCTCTAAGGCGTGATTTTAGGATATAGTCTGCCACGCTAGCCCATACGGGAAGGGGACTCTACAAAACTACGTTACAAAGTAACCAAAAAAAGCTACGATCCTCAAATACTCATACAAACCTATTTTCAAATAGCATAGAAGGTACAGTCTAGAAATACTTATACAGAAGTATTTTCAAAATGCAAAATAAATACAATCTATAAAAATACACAAAACTATTTCCAACGTTGCAAAATGGGTACAATCCACAAACTCATTTTCAAATTGTAAAAATAGTTACAAAGTACAAAGGATTATACAAACCTATATAACCACACACAACTAATTAAACACCACCACAAATAATTAAACAAACTTATTTCAAATTATAATATACGTTCAATCTACAAACCTATTTTCATATTGGCAAATAGGTACAATTT